TGTAAAACTGTTGTAGTAACAGTAAAAAAAATTACTTTGTGATTCTCAAATCGGAAGTTGGAAAACACATTTTTTTAGCATTAAAATAAAATGTAATAATAATAATCCATTGCATTAACCCCTACATGGTTTCTATATAATAAACCTAGATACCTTCCTTTGGTTACCAAAAAGTTAATTTCTGTTTTTTGCTGAAAAGGCTAGATAATGATGTCTAAAATCACGTGAAATGGTAAGCAATTGGCAACTCAAGTCTCATGTTGGCAGAATCATAAGAATGTTGAGGTGACTAGTCAGGAGGTGAGGTGACGAGAAGGAGTAGCCCCTAAAATAATGGTCATATTTGCTCCTGGTTGTTGGACATAAAACGAATATTTACTGACATTTCAATTTAGGACGTGAGTGTTTTATACCTCATGAAATTGACAAAAAGTTCACTAGCAAAATGTTTTAGTTCAAATAGATTTTGCAATTTCTTTTGACTTTAGTGAACAAATGTGATGCCACCAACTAACCTCCAATACCATATTATCTTCATTTTATGGTGATGGCTTGTAGGTTAAACAAACTTAAAAACAAAATTCTTATCAATGTATTTTGGTTTGCTTAGGTAGGTTACTTTAATTAAATTTATGTACCTTGATACAGTATCTGGTACCAGTACTTCATTAATATTAGCAGTTGCCAGAAGTTGCTGAGAGGGATAGTAAAAAATTATCATTCATAAACTAAACCACATCCGGTGTTCTTTGGAGGGTAAACATGTGCCCAGGCCTCTGTCACATGTAACACTGTAACACATGTAACACTCTGTTTCCTATTTCTAGCACAATTCTGCATTATTGGAATCACTAGACATACCACTTTCACCACGATCACTTAGAATGCCCTCATGAGCCATTACAAAAACACTGGAATAATTTGCCAAATAAAAGCAATTTCTTTATAACATTCCTCAAATAAGAACATCTGTAAACTGCAGGACCCCACCCACCTACTTCCACCCATAAAAATAGCTAATTTGGCATCATTACTACTCAATTGTGTTATGATTGCTCAACTGACCATCTGATGTCATCAAATGAGTGGGACAAGGTGTGACATGAATGAGAAAACAATTCAAATTAAAGCATTGCCAGGAGTAGCATAGAAACCATCACTTGCAGAGATGTACTGCTCTTTATGGGTTAAACTAATTTAAGAGTTAGGGCTGTTAAGCAGAGAAAAGAAATATATGGTTAGATAAGAGTAATACTTTAGGACAGTTGCACCCCTTAACCAGCAATGCTTTTTTTACCTCATGAAAAGGCCCAAAATATGGGAAGAAATTAGTTTTTTTAAATTATTTCCATCCTGAACACAACTCCATGACTGTGCTCTAGAGTCTAGATGAGATATTCATTGTTAACATCTGAAATGCATCCAAAAACTTACTGCAGTACTTTTTTTTCCCCCCCACACAGGGATTAGCCCACCCGGGCACAGGTCACTGACCCACATTAGGGCCTGGGAGGCGAAGTTGTAATCATAATAATAATAATAATAATAATAATAATAATAATAATAATTATTATTATAATAATTATAATTAATCTCTTATAAAATATAGTTACCAACCTAACCTTAGGTTAGATTATGTGTTTTAGGTTTGTCATTTTATGTCTGATAAAACATGTAATGTAGCAGTACTGTAGTTGGAAAGTCATAGCTTGCGGCCATTCACATGTATGGAATGGAAAAATATTTTAAAATAATTATTTTTTTTTAATATTGCAGCCAATAAGAAGGCATGGGTAACTGGTCAGGTATTTGAGGACTGGTTTACCAAACATTTTGCTGTGGAAGTTGAGTGGCACTGCCATGAAGTTAATCTTTCATTCAAGGTGTTGCTAATTCTGGATAATGTCCCTGGACACCCAAAGCACCTCGATAACATCCACCCCAACATTAGTGTTTTGTACCTACCCCCTAATACAACCTCACTGATCCAGCCACTTGATCAGGGGCTATTGCTACAGTTAAGGCATGTTACCTCAGGAGGCCCTTCTCCCAGCTTCTGGATGCAACAAATGACTTCCAAAATCCTGGCAGTAAACTAACCATTCGTTAGTGGTGGAAATCTTATAATGTGAGGGATGCTATTGACAACATTGTGGCAGCATGTGACGATGTAAAATCATCTATCATGAACAGTGTTTGGAAAGCCCTGTGGAAAAACTGTGTTTGTGATTTTAAGGCCATCCCGAAGTTTTCAACAACAGTGCGTCAGGTTGTTGAAATAGAACAAAAGGTGGGTGGAGATGGCTTTGTTAACCTTGATTCTCATGATGAAGAATTGAGTGTGGATGACCTCTTAGACATGACTGATTAAGAAATGGAAGAGGAGGAGGCTGCCCTAGAAAGCAAAGACTATGCCAATGAAGAGAATGACAAAAAAAATTTTAAATGCTGAAAAACTTGCACAGGAAGCAATAGAAATGGACATCAGTTTGGACAGAAGCCTGCAGTTTAAACGCGGATTAGAAGATATTCTGGCAGCCTACAAGGAGGTTTATGGAGCAACGAAAAGCAAAACAGACCACAATGCTGCAATTCCCAAGGCCTTCCACCTCCACTCCCATTCCACCTGCCTCTTCTAAACTTTCCACCTCCACCACCCATGACCCAGCTGCCTACCCTGGATCCTCAACCTCTGGTGTTGTCTGATGAGTCTAGCCCTTTTGATGTCAACCCACTTTTCTTTTTTCTTTTTTTATGGGGATTAGCCCACCCGGACACAGGTCACTGACCCACATCGGGGCCTGGGGGGCGAAAATGTAATAATAATAATAATAATAATAATAATAATAATAATAATAATAATAATAATAATTCATAATAAATAAAATTTATGATAAAACAAACAAAAATAAAATAATAAAATAATGATGATAATAATACAGTAACTGTAATAATAATAATATTAATAATAAAGAACTATAAATACAAAAATGAAAAAAAAGATCAAAAGTGAGAAACGATATATGTATGTTGTGTTGTCAATGGTAAGAAAAACAATTGAGACCCTGCAATTGCATGTAAATGAAGCAGAAAGTCAGATCAGCAACCTGGGACTTGGTCACAATTTTCGTGATGCCATATGGCAGCAGGGTCTACCATTAGACCACACATTATGCTTCCAATATCTTCCCAGGCAGTAGTACCTCCCTGTTTGGTAGCTGCCTACTACCTTAAATGTCACACTCCCTGATGACCCTGCAGTTGTCACTCCAACACCATCACCACTATGTAAAACCACTAACACCACCTCCATTATCTCATCTAACCAAGCTGGCATAGTCACTTCTGCTACAATGCGATAGTTGTGTTCTTGTAAAACCTCGCGTTGTAGAAATTCGTGCAATAGAAATAACAGTGCTTATGGAGAAAATAGGGTTAGGTGCAGATTACTCGTAATAAAGAATATTTAGTAGTTAGCCTAACACAAAGGATAGCCCAGTCTAAATAAATGTCACATTCATATCTAATAATGAAATCATACAGTAAATGTAACACTTTACTTTGAAAAAATATGAATATAACTTGATGGGGGAGAAGGGTGATTTTGAGGTTGAGGAGTCATGCAGACAGGAGTTGAGAGTTGTCATCATCATCATCAGTATCATCAGGTGCAGTTTTGGTTGCATGGGAGGGATGAAAAAAACATCTAATTCCAGAAGTGGATGACTGTGGTTCATTGTCTTCAGGCTGCTTCTTGGGGGTTGACTTAAAAAAGACTAATGTTTGCTGCTTTGCTTCAAAACAACCCACGTGTTTCAACTGATCGTGTGATGGAAACAGAGAGCGCGGGTGTAAAACACTATTAGTCCGCACTGCGAAACATTACTTTTATTTATTTTTTCATACAGTATTAATGGGAACAGCTAAATTTGCAAAAAAAGTATGAAATTTATAGAGTCCGTATCAAATAACACTTCACAAACAAAACACATGAATCAATTGAACATGTGATGTCGAACGTGACCTGTAAACACTGCATAACCCCGCGCCAAGCGACAGTACACTTAAAATATTCGAGTGTAATCGCATTGCAGCCAACACGCGTTCACGTTTTACAGATATCGTTCTTCTATTCATCAATCGCGTTATAGCCAATTGGCGTTGACAAAACGCGCGTTGTAGCAGAAATTACTGTATCTGCTTTTATTGGTAAGTACTGTACCCTTCCTTTATCTATTATTTTATAAATAAATTTTCTGATTTTTTTATGGTTTAAATGTCCTGAAATTGTGTTGAAAATGGGTCTGGAACATTTCATTTTGGTTTATGGAACACATCCAAATTTTTCACATTTAACTTAAGTATTCGATATATGAGAATTCAGTTTATGCAAGGGGTTTCGAGAAGGCATCCCTCACATATATCGAGGACCTACTACCCTGTCTTAGCTCATGGAAATTTCATGAAAAATAATCCAGAAATAAGTAAAAAAAAATAATAATAACACCAAAACTTTGTTTTGTCTCTCTAACACAGTTTGTTACTGATGACTTAGATTAATCATTTTTCATATTCATTAGAGTACAGTACTGTATTAAGATAAAGAATTATTATTAGAACACTGTACTCAAAATATAGTGATGACAGAAGACAAAAAAAGTTGTAAATCTCTGTACCTCCCCATAAAAAGGTGAGCACAATTCACCAGACTATTGTGGGCTTAGCTTCCAACTTGCCCAAAAATCCACTTTGTCCACATTGCATCTCTATACTGTACAGTACATGTCCAACATTCACCCATCACACTGCAACTTCTACATTTACTTTCTGGCTTCACAAGTTAGGGAAGCAAGAGCTACAACAACAAAAAATATTTCCTTAGGGAAATCTGTTTTATATACTGTACTGTAAGAATTTATGGATAAATGTTTGTAAAATCTGGTTAAATTGATTGGACAAGAACTAGCAATGAATGCTCCATGATAAATCTTGTATTTCAGGATTATGGGAAGAGAAGGCCTTATTGAACGCTACAGGTTAACAAGGTATTATGAAAAACCATATCAGGTATGTAGGTTGAAGACTGCATTTTTCAAATACTATACAGTATGCTATTATCATGCCCTGTTTATAAGTAATGTAAACAGTGGTTCCCATGCAAATGTTTGAGGTTTAGTGTGATATAAGGCTATTAAACAGTGAATTTTTACATGAGCAAGGTTAACTTCTAATGGCAAATAAGGGTTAGATACATGTGCAGTACCTTCAAAAGGGTGCATACTGTACTGTACAGTACTGTAATGTCTTCATTAGCCGGGATCCCCCTTAGCCGGAACTCCAGTACCTGGAATTGAAATTGGCTAAAAAAATTTCCAGGAAAGCTCTCTCCATTCTGGGTCTGTGTAGAACAAGTTTTTGAGGTTGAAAATCAGCCACATTTACTGTAAAATTCTGGAAAAATCTCTCCATTTTTTTTTTCCTGGTCTGCGAGCAAGTTCTGGGGATGAAATAATGTGTAATTCTGGAAAAGTCCAAGAAACTTTTCCCGGTATCTGGAAGTAAGTAAGCCTAATTTACTCGAATGGCCAACCTGCCCATGCATCTGGTTTGTGTGGACACATCAGAGCATGATGCAATCTTTTGGAACTCCTAGAAAATTCGTTCCCATGCCTGGAATGGAGAAATTTTTTCCCAGAATTTCTCGTACAGCTCAAAAATTTATACAGTACTGTATTGACTATTAGAGAGTTCTGAGGATCAAAGATTCTGGTTAATGGGGAGATTACTACTGTACTGCATACCTTTTCATTTTGACCCCCAATTCTAAATCTGCAAATTATTCCTGAATGTCCATGACCAATTATCTTGTCATAATATTTTGTTTGAAAATTTATTTTGGAAACTTGCATACCATCTCAAAAAAAATAAAAGTGAAAATAAATCAACTCCGGGAGTTGCCAGATATTACTTTCTGATTGAAAATTTCTTGAAATTGTGACATCAGTGATTTGAGCAATTGTATAGCCATGAAAATAGCTCAATTGTCAAACTGATTTATTCACTGTAGTATATACTGTAATTACTAATTGCTAAGTATCAAGTGACACATTTGCAGGGAGCATTGTACAATACATAATTGGTAAAATAAGTGCCTACTCAGTTTTATCATGCATAATCGGGTGTTGTATTCTTTTAGATTACCATTTAAGTAATTGATAATACTGTACAGTATATCGTAGAAGTATGTCCTATCAGTTATTGACTGTAATTTACAGTAAATGCAAAACTGTACCAACATACAGTAGTCCCTCGCCAACCACAAAGGTTAGGTTCCACAGCCACAGATAACACTCGTCAAAGCCAAACTAAATTGCCTGTTCCTTCACTAAACAATACATGTACCTGTATAGTACACAATTAATTAAATTTGAGTCAAATACTGTACATATAAAATAGCTTAACTGGTAATCTAAATTAAATAGTAATAGTACAGTCTCGTTCAAGATTCTTCAAACACTGCTGGAGACAGCTGGCAATCCAAGGCCGTTTGTTTACTATAGTATGTTGTAAAAATTATGACTACTACAGGTGCTCCTCTACTTACGAACGAATTACATTCCTGAGGCTTGTTCATAAGTCCAATTGTTTGTAAGTCCAACTTTACTCCTGTAGATAATGGATGTTTAGTACAGCTATACCCTAAAATACAGCCTTAAAACCTGGGTCACTCTTCTCCTCTTAGGTAATGCATGTTGTAATCTGGAATTTTCTTCAAAATTATCCAGTCTCATCCACATCAAACACCTGCTCTGGCAGGTAACCCCCTTAATGATGATGTTTGTATCTCTGAAAGTTTGTAAGTTGAATGTTCTTAAGTAGAGGAGCACCTGTAAATGTAAAAGTGACCGATGATTGGTTACTTAGTTCTCCGTTGCTTAATTTAATGGTTGGGCTTTGTTGTTTCGTATTATATTATACGGTACAGTAAAAATAATCAATAATGAAAAATTAATAAAGTGTTACTGTGCACTTACCTTTAATGTAGTCAGCTGAATGCACATGGGGCCTCAATAATTTTTTTAATTAAACATGGAGACTACATTAATTGGATGAAGCAGAGGAGGAGACAGGGCTGGGTGTGTCATCAATTTTGCTTTCTTCAGACAGGCTAACATACTTGCTTGTTGAAGGTATTGGATCATCTTTAGGGAGTGAAGAGGTAGCAGTGTTGGGGCGTGAGGAGACAGCACTGGGGGACTTCTTAAAATATATGTCCAATTTAGACTGCACAGTTTGCCTTTTCTTTTCATTGTAAATCTCCCTGTAGCAAGCAAGTGCATCTTGGATCAGTCTGTCAACTTTTTCAAAACGCTCAACATTTTGATCCATTTCTTCAAACATTTGCATCTCCTTATTAATAGTAGTAAATGCCTCTGCCATTTGTTTCACTGAAAACTCTTTTGGGGGTTCAGGTTCTTCTACATTTTGTCTCTCTTCTTCCTCTGCAATTTTCTGTGCATCCAGTTCAATAAGATCCTCGTTACTTAGCTCTTCTGCTACACTTTCAACCAACTGCTCAACATCTTCATTATCAATTTTTAACTCCGGCTGTTTACCCAACTCTACTATCTTGCTACTAATCTCAGAAATTGCTTCATCTTCATTAAATCCTTTGAAACTGTTCACATATCTTTTCAGGACCACCTTCCATATTCCACTCATGCACTGACCTGTCACCTCATCCCATGCTGCAGCCATGTTCTTTATACATTTCAAAATGTTGTAGTCCTTCCAAAACTTTGAGCGTTTTCTCACCTTCAGTAGCAGCAACAGCCTGAGCGAAGGTCGTACGTAAATACTACACTTTAAAAGCAGCAATAGCACCTTGATCCATGGGTTGGATGATAGAGGTAGTGTTAGGTGGAATGTAGACTACCTTAACATCAGGGTGCAGGTCGTCCAGGTGTGGTGGGTGTCCCGGAGCATTATCTAAAATTAATAAAATCTTGAACGCAACCCCTTGTTGCAGACAATACTCCTTGGCTCGTGGAATGAAACAACTCAGGAACCAATCCTCAAACAGTGCAAGGATCATCCATGCTTTCTTATTACTGCAATAAAACACTGGCAGTGTGTGCTTGCTGACATGTTTAAAAGCCCTTGGGTTCTCTGAATGATAAGTCATGAAGGGTTTTACCTTGAAACCAGCTACATTCCCCCCCCCCAACAGAAGTGTGATTCGGTCCTTGAATGCCAGCATGGTTTTCTCCTCTTTGTGGATGTATGTCCGTTCAGGCATGCTCTTCCATAATAAGCCAGTTTCATCCACATAAATATTTGCTCAGGCAAATAATTTCCCTCCACGAAGACACGATCTAGCTCCTCCTTAAAAGCTTCGGCAGCACCCACATCAGCACTTGCTGCCTCTACACTCACCTTTACACTGTGCAAACTGTAACGGTTCTTAAACCTTTGGAACCACCCATAACTTGCTGTGAAGTTTTGGTCGCACTCATCTGCCTGCTCCTTCAGGCTTTCAAAAAGGCTTCTTGCCTTAGCCTGTATGGTTAGAAGGCTTAAGGGTACACGCTTTTGCAGCTGATCTTCCATTCACACCACATTATTTTTCCATCTCATGAAGAGGACCTTGTCTTTTTTTTTTCTTTTTTTTTTCCCTTTATGGGTGCTGATCCTTTCACTACCTCACGAATTCGTTCCTTGTCCTTCAAAATTGTTGATATCGTCAAGTGAGAGAAGCCTAGGTCGCGTGAAATGGTTGCTACCGTTTTCCCATTTATATATTGCAATATTATTTTCATTTTCATCTTAAAATTCATTGAGTCTCTTTTTCTTCTGAGCACCACCAGAACTCTCACTTTTATGCTTGCCAGTCATTTTAAAGAGAATTAGAAACAAAAATTTTATCAGTACACAGCGCGATCACTGACACCAACGACGGCCAAACACCAACTGAGCGGGCTACGGCGTGGATGCTGTACACCACGAGGCGGCCCAGCCCACGCCACGCTGTTGTACGGGACGGAAACATTTCGGTACTAGAAAATATGTACGTAATTTGAAAAAAAAATTATATGACTGCGGTTATCGTATGTCCGGGTGGTATTAAGTCGTAAGTTGAGTAGGTCAAAAGTCAAGTGGGTCATAAGTCGAGCAGGTCGCAAGTCGAGGAGTACCTGTACTATGTACTATAGTAAACAAATGGCCTTAGAGTTGTCGGCTGTCTCCAGCAGTGTTTGAAGAATCTTGAACGAGACTGTACACTATAAATTTTGCAGTACAGTACCATATTTACCATTACGATATTGATGACACTAGCGGATGAGAATGATATGGAGAGGTAGAGGTGCTTGTTACAATGGAGAGGGGGCAGAGACCCACTCTCTTTCTGCACCTCTTCAGGTTCGTCAATGTCTGATGAGGTGGGTGGCGCATTGACCAATCTTGGTTGGTGGAGGCTGGAGGGTTGCGGGTCAGTGATTGTCGCTGCTGTATCATTGGTGGCCAATGGCTTCTTTAAAAAAGTTAAGATGGAGGATTTTTTTTTTTATCCCTGTAAACAACCTTGTAGGGCGTCATTAAATCCTCCAACTCGTGCTTAAAAGTAAGGCTGCACTCACTAAGTGATCAATTTCCATAAAATGCTCAGCCAAATTTGAAGTAGCAAGCATTCCTTTGCTATGGTTGCCAAGAGTCAATTTGACTTTTTTCACCAAATCCTCTTCCTTTTTCATGTCGTCATTGGAGGATTGATTGTATCTGCTCCTCTAGGTCATCCTCGGTCAACTTCCACATGGACCCAAGGAGCTCCTCTATGCCTGCATGTTGCTCAGCCCCTCGCCTGGCATAGATTGTGCAATCTGCAGATGTGCCTCACCTCAGCATCCACTGAAAGGAAACCTTGAAAATAATGCACTACATCAAGTGAAATTTTCCCCCAGCATGTATTCAGTGTTGATGGCTTCACTTCATCCACTGATTCTTTGATGATGCTGATGCAGTCTGCAATGTTGAAGCTTTTCCAGGTTGTCCAATACTGTTAAGGTTTCATCCTCCTCCATGGCATCAGAGATACGGCGAGTGTAATACAGTACTTAGCTTTTAAATGTTGCTATCACTCCCCGGTTCATGGGCTAAAGGAGTGACATTTGGAGGGAGGAATACCACTTCTACATTGGGATGGGTAATCTGGAGTGCTTCAGGGTGACCAGGTGCATCGTCGATGATGAATAGCACCTTGAACCCCAGAATTTTTTATTATATTTTATTATTTTGAAGCAAGGTACCTCTCAACCTCTTGGACAAACCAGTTGTTAAACCATTCCATGAAGACAGCAGCAGTAACCCACTCCTTGCAGTTAGACCTTCAAAAAAGAGGGAGTTGTTCTTGTTCTTACCCTTCAGGGCACAGGAGTAGAGGAGTAAGGGCTTGATGAAGCAGTCCCCCAAGGTGTTACCACAAAGGAGAGGAGTCACCCTGTCCTTCACTGTCTTAAATCCTGGAGCAGACTTCTTAACCTTTGAAATGAAGGTTCTTTTTAGGCATTCATTTCCCCCCAAAAAGTCAGTCTCATCCATGTTGAATACCTGCTCCAGCAGGTAACCCTTCTCAATTAACATTTTTAATTGTTTTGGATATACGGTAGTGCAGTGGTCTGGTGATGCCAATTCCCCAGCGAGTTTCGCATTATCCAGGCTGTATCTTTTCTTAAAGTTCTTGAACCAGCCCTTGCTGGTTTGAAACTTTGTCTGCATACTTCCTTCACCCAAACTTTTCACAAGGTGTCTGTACATTTGCCTGGGTTTTGCACAAATTAGCTCTTAATTTAAGGCATATTTTTCTCGACCTGGTCTTCCATCCATATGCTCAGCATTTTTTCCATCTGTTTGAGATCGTGGTCATGTGGCATATACTGTACAACACTTTTTCACTTTTTGATGCGCCACCAGCAGCACTTTCCCTTATTGTAGACTCACTCTTTTTGATGGTACGAATCGAGGATTTGTTTACCCCTTAGCGTGTCCCACTGATGCTATACTCTACCCCACATGCTAGTCTAGCAAGCACTTCAACCTTCTTTTCTGATATTATGTTCCTTACCCTTTTCACCTTCGTCTCGCCTTTAAAACTAACACTCGGTGAACTCTTCGGGGCTATAGTTAGGGGCAAAATCAATTTTAATACAGTAGAAAATACGCGAGACACTATGGAGCAGTACAATACATCGGTACACAACAAGATCACAACACTGAAGAGCGTGGATAGCAGTGGCAGGTGATGGGACGCTGCAAAGAGATAAAGATGCCGTGCTAACCCGCGGATAATAAAAATCAGTGCCGCAGTTAGTAAAATGATATACTACAGTCAACCCTCACTTTACGCGGTTAATGTAACCCACAGGGTACCGCGGAAAGTGAGAAACGCGTAAAGTGAATAACATAACATATGGGATTAAATGAAATAGAGACCAGCTGACCCCCAAACTCCACTTTTTCCAACACAATACCTATGTTCTAGTAAAAATAACATCTTAATTTTATGATGGTACATGCACACAGATGGTCGGTCGCCGGTCCCTCCCTCCCTCCCCCCCACCACCAACGTCCCTACTAGATAAATGTGTGGGAATACCAGACTGTTTACCTTTTTAGTAATAAATAATAAATCAGACTAAAGTTAGGATAATATAATTGACATTGCTGGATTCCTTGTAAGACCAGGAATATTTTGAATATAAATATCATATATTTTGCACAAAAGATAACATATTTACTCAAGAGTAAACATTATATCTAAAATTTGTATGTCTAATGCAAAATCTATGATATTTATAATCAAAATGATCATCAAATTGTAAGAATTCCAGCAATGTAAATTATATTCTGGCCGGATAATTTGTATGAATTTTATGAGCTAAATAAAAAAATTATACTTCACCGTGTAAAGGGGTACACCCACCGCGGAATGTGAGCATCCTGGGTTCTGGCAGGGCACCGCGTAAACGTGGAAACGCGGAATGTGGGACCGCGTAAAGTGAGGGTTGACTGTATAAAGTAAAAACCGTAGTTATTTGTACATGGAATCCATAGGTGAAAAATCTGCAGTTAGCGAAGGTCTACTCTATTGTAAATAACAATGATCATAATAACAATATAAACCACACATATATGAGGACATTAATGGAGAATAACATCTAATACTACAATATATATATTGTATAGTACTGTACCATATAGAGCTTACTTGTAGTTTTCTCTATTGGTATGTGTATATGTCTCTCTCAAAGAATGTGTACATAATACAGGTATGTTATTTCTGTCATTGTGCTAAGTTGATATACTGTATTGTATTCAACTCCTCAATATCTTGTCATAATGTCAAGACTTGTTCATATCCACAGACTCGACGTCGCATCAACTTTGAAAAGGCCAAGGCTATTTATAATGAAGACATGAATAGGAAGATCCAGTTTGTGATGAGGAAAAACCGGGCTGACCCATGGATAGGTTGTGCCTGAAATCAATGTCCAGAAGCTGTTTACTGTACAATGTAATTGGTTGTGTATGTAAACTTATTAATAAAATGTAAATAGATCCATTTGTTGTGTATCCATCTGTATCCAGAGAGTGAGGGGAGGGCAGTCTTCTGTAAATTAAAACAATCTGAAGTATGTATACACTAAAACCAATTGAATCAGGAAGAATGCAGCCTTCTAATGGTTGAGAAGAGTGAAAAGTCCAGATTGCAGTAACATCATTTTGAATTACTCCAAAAAAAAACATTGAGTACTGGTACTCAACAGACATGTTGATTGGTAATGTTCAAAAGTTGTTAGGAGTGATTTGTAAGTTGTCAATAGTACCATGCAAAAAGTGATCCTACTCAGAATCCATGATGACTTGAGAAAGCTCTAGTGTGTTCCTGGCAATGTCACTTGGGGACTCCAAGTTTGGGCAGATATTGCTATGGGTCAGGTTTGGTTAAAGTGTATATTTGCACTGGGGACTTGTCATAGTTGTGCCAAAAATCTGTTTTAGTATAGTCAGGTTAAAAAGCTTTCATAGATGGGCCAAGAAACTAGTACCTGTACCGGTATTGATAAGCTAAGAACCCGTTAAAGATAGACCAAGAACTTGTTATTGTTAGGCTGAGAAATAGTCATGAACCAAGAACCTATTAACTTATATGGAAATAGAATGGAGGAAGTGAGGTGTTTCAGTGGATGTATCAGTAAATGGAATGATGTATGATGAATTGAATCAGGAATGGAAGGAAATTCAGTAATATGTATCCAAGAGAAATGTATGGTGAAAGAACTGTCTGAGGAGGTAATAATGGGGATGTATTGGGGAATCTTGGAGGTGACAATACTGTACTGTATAGGTGTGAAGCATGATTCTAGATGTAAAATAAAGATGTGTTAGAAACTACAGAAATTACCGGTACATGATAGCAGAATGTGAGGTGAATAAGAGGCAGAAAATAACAAATAAAGAAATTAGGAGGCATGGAAATGGAAAAACAAATATGACAGCTATTCATGGTCTGCAAAGGTGGTATGCATATTTTGAGAGAATGAGAATTGAGTGATTGGTAAAAAGAGGAGACAGGGAAAGACCAAGGATAGGATGAAAGATGCAGAGAAGCAAGAAGAGAGAACTTTCAGGAAGCTGTGGAGTACTGTACTATATGGATGATTGGAGAGCCAAGTATCAAGTGGTTTTCAGGGATAGATGATGGTAAAGAGAGTTTGTCTGCTCATGGTTCTGTCCATCATACAATATACACAATGAGAAAGAACTTGAAAGACTTGAAACCAAATTTATTTCTTAATTTAAACTAATTATATAAAGTTTGATTTGGGATGAGGATTATGTAAGAAATTTAAAATTTTCAGTGTAGATATGACCCAAAGTAGAAAGTATAGTAGTGGCTCAAGAAAAGAAAGGAGAATGTACTGAAATGGTATTAACTGATAGAAGCACAACCAATGTCCTTATCCCAAAACGTGAAATGTGTGACAAAGGATGTAGAAAATGTTAGGCAAAACGAAACTTAAGTGTGTGAGGGGGTGAATTGAAAATAGGTACTGGATGAGAGGATGTTTGTACTGTAATAAACCTTTTGCACATGCTATCATAGCATGAATGAATAATTTATTAGAATATTAAGTGCACAAACAAACTGAATTGACTACATAAGTCTTGTGCAAACCTTTCTAGGATAATAAGTATGTACATATTTATAAATTATAATTTTATTGCAAAACAAACCAATTTTACCTCTTAGAGGTAAGATATAACTTTATACTGAATGAAATTTTAAGTGAAAATAAGATGGGAATTATTGATTCTCATGGTATTCCTATGAGTACTATCTTATCCTTGATTTATTATGTTACTAAGGTTACTGTATATAGTATACAGTCAACCCTCACTTTACGCAGTTAATGTAACCCACAGGGTACCGCGGAAAGTGAGAAACGCGTAAAGTGAATAACATAACATATGGGATTAAATGAAATAGACACCAGCTGACCCCCAAACTCCACTTTTTCCAACACAATACCTATGTTCTAGTAAAAATAACATCTTAATTTTATGATGGTACATGCACACAATTAATACTTAAGAGAAATAGAGAAATACAGTCGCCAAGTTAATGTCCATTCAAATAATGGACTCAACTCCCTCCCCCTCTTCTCACACTACACTCTGGCTCTTCCCTCTCTGAGAAATTTTGGGGGGAAAACCAGGTATAGTAATAAATAATACCTCAAACTAAAGTTAGGATAATATAATTGACATTGCTGGATTCCTTGTAAGACCAGGAATATTTTGAATATAAACGTCATATTTTGCACAAAAGATAACATATTTACTCAGAGTAAACATTATATCTAAAATTTGTATGTCTAATGCAAAATCTATGATGTTTATATTCAAAATGATCATCAAATTGTAAGAATTCCAGCAATGTAAATTATATTCTGGCCGGGTAATTTGTATGAATTTTATGAGCTAAAACAAATATCTTCAGTTAATAAAAAAAAAAATTCTTCACACCGTGGTGCCAGGTGGTCGGTCGCCGGTCCCTCCCTCCCCCCCACCCCCCACCAACGTCCCTACCAGATGAATGTGTGGGAATACCAGACTGTTTACCTTTTTAGTAATAAATAATAAATCAGACTAAAGTTAGGATAATATAATTGACATTGCTGGATTCCTTGTAAGACCAGGAATATTTTGAATATAAATGTCATATATTTTGCACAAGAGATAACATATTTACTCAGAGTAAACATTATATCTAAAATTTGTATGTCTAATGCAAAATCTATGATGTTTATATTCAAAATGATCATCAAATTGTAAGAATTCCAGCTATGTAAATTATATTCTGGCCAGATAATTTGTATGAATTTTATGAGCTAAATAAAAAAATTATACTTCACCGTGTAAAGGGGTACACCCACCGCGGAATGTGAGCATCCTGGGTTCTGGCAGGGCACCGTGTAAACGTGGAAACGCGGAATGTGGGACTGCATAAAGTGAGGCTTGACTGTACTATTTTTTTAATTTACATTTAAATATCATTAACTTTCTTTTGGTATACAGTATCAGGCAGTGGTTTGTGTAGGACTACCACACGAGGGCTCCTGTTAAACTTGCAGGTCCCTCTCTTCATTTAACTCCCAATGTTCGGTCTTTCTTTGTTGCTCTGTATCCACACTTGTCTCATGCATTAAACCATTTTAAATACTTCCAAAGATTCACATAACTTTATTTACAATACTAACTGACTTCTCATATAGTTCAATACGAGTGTTTTTTTGTGTGTAAACATTTATCATATAGATCTTATCTGTATCCATAAACTGGAAACAAGAATTTTTTCTTTTTGTTCTTTAGTGAAAGCTGTTGCCTCTCAGACCTTTGGCTTGACTGAATTTACCACTCAGGTGTTATGCTCAGCAAAATGGCATTCTACTTTGATTCAAGGGGATGTAGAGTTGCGGTCCAAAGTAATCATCCACCCCTCCTACTATAGTGCACTTTTTCCAAGCTAAGAAAAGATACCCCGCCCCCTCCTCAAGAGTTACAGCTGATTGGCTGTTGCAAATTGTCCAATTTCATCCTGAAGTAATGATGTACAGGTACTCCCCGACTAACGACCGACTCGACTTACGTCCACCCGCACTTACAACCTGCCTCAGTCGTACCAAAATTTGGTCAAATTATGTATTTTTGAGTCCCAAAGTCAGTACACAGACAAAATTTTCATCTGTAATTCACTTTAAAATGGCTGGCAAGCTTAAAAGTGAGTGTTTTGTGGTGCTGAGAAGAAAAAGAGACCCAAATTTTCGATTTTCTATGTTTTATTTAAGCATTTCCGACTTACGACCATTTCGACTTACGACCTGGATGTCGGTCCCTAACCCCGTCGCAAGTAGGGGAGTACCTGTATTTCTAAATGAGTTTATTCATGATCGTTGGAATGACCGTTTCTGACGAGAAAGATATTTAGCTGAATTATTTAAAGATACATACATTTATTAATTCAAACATAAGCACGTAGGAAGTTATCAATAATCTTATACATGAATAACTTAAACTCTGGTAGCAAATTCACTTGTATACATACTTATTTTCCTCACAATAAGGTATACAGTCAACCCTCGCTTTACGCGGTCCCACTTTACACGTTTCCACGTTTACGCGGTACCCTGCCGAACACGGAATGCTCACTTTCCGCGGTGTGTGTACCCTTTTACGCGGAGAGCGGCGCGAGCAGGGTGCGCACAAGGTCGCCCAGTCATCAAACATTACCGAGTTCTTCACCCGCCACCCACCACAGCCAGCCCAAGTCAGTGATAGTGATAATGATAGTGAGGGTATGGATTTATATGGACTTTGAGGGGTTTGACAAAGAGGCCCTGCAAGCCTCTGTGGTGGATAGTGATACAATTGATACAAGTGAGGGCCAATAATTAATCTGCCCTCTGCCTCGGAACCAACCCCCCATCCCCGTGTGCCTAGCCATCTTTTCTACTAATGTAAGTACTGTATTAAAAAACCTAATATTATTGATATTTCTCTTAATTATTAATTGTGTGTGCATACCATCATAAAATTAAGAAGTTATTTTTACTACAACCTAGATATTGTGTCTGAAAAAGTGGAGTTTGGGGGTCGGCCCGGTCTCTATTTCAATTAAACCCATATGTTATGTTGTTCACTTTACGCGGGCCGCTGTAGGTTCAATTGACCGCGTAAAAAGAGGGTTCACTGTACTAAGACAAATTACATATCAGTAATACTACATTATGCAAAAAACTAACATTTTAAAAGATCAGAATCACACTGAAATATTACACGGCCTCTGAAAGTTGGTGGATGAGTGTGACAGACTGGGAGGTTGGCTGCTCAGCTGTCAGCAGAGGCTGGAAACAGAAAGTTGTTCGCGGTCATATTTCCCGCTTCTGTTGACCACTGATCAGCTCATTAGCCGCTTGGGCGATCGGTCACGTCTGTTAAGCACTGTTGGCAAGTACTGGGCATGCACTGGCTCCTGAATGTACCTGAACCTGCTCCAGT